GCCCCCCAGCAGCAGAGCTCCCTTTGCTGCAGCAGGAACAGCAGGAGTTAACTATCAGCAGCAGCAGCAGGGAGAAAATAATGCTCATACAGAACATATAGACAACTATCTGCAGCAATTCAAACAACAGCTGCAGCAGCAGCAGCAAGTGCTGCAGCAGCAGGAACAGCAGCAGCAGGAACAGCAGCAGCAAAACACACAAACCTCTCCATCCGCAGCAGCAGCAGCAGCAGCAGCAGCAGCAGGAGAAGCAGAAGCAGCAGCAGCAAGTGGTTTATCTTCTTTTTTCTTTCGGGGGTTGCTGGGGTCCCGAGCAGCAGATTGCGGCGTAAGGAGCCGTGGGGTGTATAGGCAGCTCCTTTCTCTTGTTGCTGCTGGTGATATGAATGTAAAAGCAGCAAAAGAAGAAAACACTGCAGCAGATATAAACCCTTATATTTGTACTCTCTTCATCTTCCTCTGTACGCAACACTAACACTCGAGGGTTTAGGGTTTAGGGTTTAGGGTTTATAGGGTTTATAGGGTTTATAGGGTTTAGGGTTTAGGGTTTAGGGTTTAGGGTTTAGTATTAGTGAATTTCAATACTTTAGGGTTTACCCTTTACCCTCTCTCTACCCGTTACTCTTTCCAATCTACAATTTAGGGTTTAGAACTCTAGAAATTTAGGGTTTAGGGTTTAGGGTTTAGGGTTTAGGGTTTAGGGTTTAGGGTTTAGGGTTTGTGTGTTGTATAGACATGATACTCTGCATTGGCTTCGCCGAAGAATTTTCAAAAGTAACAGCTATGCTGCTGCTGCGTCCTTCTCGTCTCCCCCACCCGCACGACTGGGTACAGGGGGCCCCCGCGCTGGGGGCCCCCGCGGTGGGGGCCCCCCTGGGGCCCCCCCCCATGGGGGCCCCGGCTATGGGGGGGCCCCCCATCGTGGGGGGCCCCTGGGGGTATGAAGAGATGTTTGGGGGGGAAGCAGAGAAAGAAGAGAATGCGTTTCATCATTATGTCTATCATCCGCTGTCGATGGTTGTTGGTGGTTGTTGTGCTGCTCTGGGGTAGGTTTGCTGCTGCTGCTGCTGCTGCTGCTGCTGTTGCTGTTGCTGCTTGTGGTGGTGGTGGTGGTGGTGGTGGTGCTGTTGCTGTTGCTGCTTGTGGTGGTAGTGGTGGTGGCGCTGTTGCTGCTGCTGTTGCTGCCTGTGGTGCTGGGGCTGTGCGTTGTGGTTGCATGCGTTGTCTGCGTTGCTGCTGCTGCTGCTGCTGCATGCATTAGTTATTTGTACAGTTGCTGCTGCTGCCTGTGTTCTTATGGGTTGCTGCTGCTGCTGCATTTGTTGTTAAACGTTGCTGCTGCTGCACTTATTCCTATCAATTGCTGCTGCTGCTGCTGCTACTGC